GTGCACTCGGCCGAGAAGTCTCGGCCAGGAGCGCACCTCGGCTGTGCACTCGGCCGAGGAAAAGTGCACTCGGCCGAGAAGTCTCGGCCAGGAGCGCACCTCGGCTGTGCACTCGGCCGAGGAAAAGTGCACTCGGCCGAGAAGTCTCGGCCAGGAGCGCACCTCGGCTGTGCACTCGGCCGAGGAAAAGTGCACTCGGCCGAGAATTCTCGACCATGTGTGCACCTCGGCTATGCACTTGGCCGAGGGAATGTGCAATCGGTCGGGAAGTATCGGCCAAGTGTGCACCTCGGCTGTGCACTTGGCCGAGGAAAAGTGCACTCGGCCGAGAAGTCTCGGCCAAATGTGCAACTCGCCTGTGCACTTGGTCGAGGAAAAGTGCACTCAGCCGAGAAGTCTCGGCCAAGTGTGCACCTCGGCCAAGTGTGCACCTCGGCTGTGCACTTGGCCGAGGAAAAGTGCACTCGGCCGAGAAGTCTCGGCCAAGTGTGCACCTCGGCCAAGTGTGCACCTCGGCTGTGCACTTGGTCGAGGAATTGTGCACTCGACCGAGAAGTCTCGGCCAGGTGTGCACATCGGCTGTGCACTCGGCCGAGGAAAAGTGCACTCGGCCGAGAATTCTCGGCATGTGTGCACCTCGGCTGTGCACTTGGCCGAGAGAATGTGCACTCGGCCGAGAAGTCTCGGCCAAACCTCCACCGGAGTAAACAGATTGAGGCCCTAACGAACCAAACCTGCATTACCGAATTGAATTCGGTATAGAATAGTGAATTGGCTCCTCGACTAAAGTCGCCAATTCACCACCTTCAATTAAGGGTGCGCTATCAACCTAGGCAGATATTCTCATTCTAGGTTAAAGCAGAAACAACAGGAATTTGATCAAGATTCAAGTCATTCAATCATTCAAGCCTTAATCGAATATAATCAAATCATAAACTCTGTACTTGGGTTCATACAATCAGACCTAACATACAAATCTAGGGTTCCCCATACCCAGATGAATGGGGAAACTACTCCATGGAGAGAGAAGCAAAAGCAGATTCAGACGCAGAAATCATACTGTGAAGGATGAGTTTCTGCTCCTGGTTGTCAATCGACACTTCTCCAAGCTCAAGCCGGGCTCCAATGGTGATGAAGATCAAGCTATGGCACTTGGGAACTTTGGTTCGTCGCTTTCTCTCTCTAGGAATCGCTCTGTCTCTCTAAAACTCGGAACCCTTGAAATTTAGCCTTCTTTTCCCTTAAAACTGCTGCCTGTCGCGATACCCGGTCGAAATACCCGGTCGGGTATTTTTGTCCTCCAGCACACTTCAAGCCTCACTTGCTCCTTTCGACCCGAATCTCGTTCCTTCGCCTCGATTCCAACGCTGGGTCCTGAAATATGACATAAACGCACAACCTAGCGTGAAATTGGCTTAAAAAACGAGAATCAACATCTCAAATGGCTCAAGAATAGGGGTAAAACATGTATAATTATCCCACTCCCCCACACTTAACCGTTTGCTTGTCCCCAAGCAAACCTAACTCAAACCAATGCAACTCTCCAGACCTCTGTAGCAACCAACAACCCCGGTCATAGGTAGAGGATTTCCTAGATCATTTAGCAGCTTACGAGGTCAACCGACGCACAAGTCATCTCATAGCTTCTTCGGCGAGAGCACTAGTCTCGAGTCGGTATCATGGCAAATAGTGAACAGAGGACAAATGAATCGTGGATGAATGGACTCTCAAAAACAAAAGATCATGGACCCACTTTTTTAATGTGCTCTATTTTCTTATTGAAGATGGTTGGAACCCCTTTTCTTTCTTTTTTTTTTGCTTGTTTTTTCTTCTTCTTTTTTTTCCAAAGGTTCCAACCTATTTTTCAGAAAATGGGGGCTCCCACCTAGCAAAGGTTTTGCGGGAGCCCGGCTCTTACCGGCCATGCCAGAAGCGGATGTCTCGAGCCTCGTGCGGGGGAAAGACATGTAAGGGGGCTGGAGGTAGTAGGTGGAAATTGGGAACGGATTCCCGTCTCCCCTTACACACTTTCGCCCTATTCGCACGGGAGACGTTATTTTAAAGCACATTTTCGAGCACCTGTTATTTCCAAAACATGATACAAGAGTCCATGACAGGTAGAGAGTCCACAACACCACACAATTCAAGGGTCCTAAGATCACTAATTCACTCAATCAACCAACACAGTATGAAGAAGAAATGAGACTTCTTAAATGCATCAACATCCTCCATAGTGCTACACTACCTCCCTAGGTTCAAAGCATACTGAGAAGGCAATTGCAAAGAACACGTACTTGGAGCCCTCAAATTAAAAAAATTTGGACAGTGGACTAGGCTCCAAGCACACAAACAGATTAATGCAGTCAAAAGATAAACATCCCCCCCACACTTAAGATCGACATTGCCCTCAAGAAACTAAACCGACACAAGACAGTTTGCATGCTGACAAAGACAAAACACTCAAAACATGCCACTACGGCCCTCCGAGACCGGTGAAGTC